GTTCATAACTTTCAAACAATGTGTCACAAAACTTTGCTCAAATTAATGAAGGTGAACTGAAATTAAGTGAAATGGCGTTTGCAAACTGGACTAAACCTTTTCTTATTTGTGAGATGAAACACGTCTATGCTATAATGTGGCGAATGAACTGGTGACTTGGATTCACAATTTTGGCGGGAGCGGAGGTGTTTTTTCGGAGAAACTATTTTCGAGTAGTTTTAAGTAGTTTAGTATCAAAACTTTGATATTGATTTCCATCAAGTATCTACCAGTTCCATCATTCGGAATAACAATATTCAATAGACTACCGCTCTTTATTGGCACATCAAAATTCAACAAGAAAAATTTTGCTGACATTCAATTCTTTGTCTTGAATATTAATTTTTTGGAGTCTACGAAGATCTCAATGGACTTTGTATGAACAGTAATCCACATATGCCGATGATATAGTCGCCAAAAATCAACATCAGGAATTACCAACTTTCAACAACGACTTCATCCAATTAACACCTTCAGGAACTACAAAATGATGGAACTATGCACTTTTTTCATAAATTCATCGAAAAAAAAACAACGACAACATTCTAATATAAATCCGATATCTTTCCCTTAAATATCGTTAATCTTCACGTGTAAAATATCGCCTGATATTGTTACATTAAGTGACAGGATATTATGAAAAATTTCAATTCACAAACATCATTTTCATTAATCTTCTTTTATCAATAACTCCAGGTGACATAATTCATCATTCATTTGAAGAGAATCACTCGGTACAATATTCTCATCGGTTCACTGAATTCGAATACCCTTCTCCGTTCAATATATCACGTTAAAGTCCCCAGGGTCAATGTAATCAAGCCGTAGCAATTTTCTATTTTTAGACAAATGGGGTATATTTACATGAAAATTGGAACGTCTACCAATATGTTGTTATTTGGGTACCGAAGTTGGAATTTGTTTCGGTCTGATATTATCACTGAGAACCTTTCATGCTATACTCAGTTTTGGCATTTAGGAAATACATTTTTTGGAGCTACCTTTTATTATCGCTCTGCTTCTACTAGAAGGATAGAGTATGTATAAGCTAGTGAGCTAGATATAATTCAAATGCAACTGAATTTTTGAGATATATAGGCTAATGTCAGATCTTTCAGATCAAATCTCGCGAAATAAGCTCAGTAATGACAGTCATGACAGTATCACTCAAAAAAATGGTGATGAAATCAATTTAACGCTTCGCTACCAAAGCAGAGTTTTACAGAGACATCCAAGCAGTAGCGGAGCTACTAAGGGACTAGGCGGGGCAGTGCCCCAGGGCCCTCAAGCTCAGGGGGCCCTCAGCCTTACTAGAAAATCTCAATCGAACACAACTTTTGAAAATTTCTCCCATTTTCAAAATAAATATGACAGGTGGTAACACGACTTTAATCATGGCAACTCAGTTTCAGATAAATTCGAAAGTTATAAAAAGGGAATTCCCCTAAATTATTTCTGAGGGTTGACAGTGTTATCAATTTGACGGATATCAATATGTGCGTTTCATTATTTATAGCAATATGCATTTTTGTGATTCGCGATTGTCAACTCAAATCAAGATTTTTTCCGGAAATGGTTAGAAAGTTAATGTTGTATCAGGAGTAAGTAAGCTTATGTCAATTTTTTTTGTACTGCTCTTGATTTTATTTGATTTTTGAACCACTCAAATAAATCTATAGATTTCGGCTACTCATTGTATAGCGCAAAATTCCGTGGAACTACAGACCTCTAAATTTTTCGAAAATGTGTACGATAAATCGTCTTATGATTTGGGAAACTTCACGAACAAAATACTAAATGATAATGAAAGACGTCACATTCTTGATATGGGACTTTTACAGCCTTCAGGACCTTTTCCAACTGATATCAACCAGAATAATAGGTGTTTTTCAAAATCATACTGAGTTTCAAGTTCAAAATATGGACCAGTTAATCGTTAGACGCTGCTGGTTATTTGCTTCACAGAGGAATAATGTCTGGTGTACGGGAATTCGTGATTGGAAACATTTATTAGAAAGAATTAAACAACACATTTGCTCGAGTGGCCATACGGAAGCTGTCTATGAATTTTGGAAAAAAATATACTAATACTACCGACAAGGAACTTGAAAATGAAATTCGCAAAGAAACATCTTTTTGGAAATCCGCCGATTAGCTTAGATTAGCTAAGCAGATTTAGTTAATCAAGTAACTAAATTATTTGAAGGGAAAAATATTGATTTAAAAAAATGTGTGGGGCAAGGTTATGATGGAGCCAATGTGATGAGTGGTGTGTATAATGGTATACAAAAACATATTAAGGATATCCAGCCTAACACAAAGTACGTACATTGTGCCACTCATAATTTAAATTTGGTGATAAATGACTTCGTTTTTTTTTATATTATAGAAGCAGTATCAGAAATAGTTCTGAAGAGTCCTAATAAAGATGAGCGTAATAAAGCAGAGAGTATCAAACCAAAAATGCTGAATTATGCATCCAAAATTTTACAAAAATGCGACATCAATTTGGACGAGGCAAGTAAAGCTTTAACAGAGACTAAAGCAAAGTTGCAAATTTATAGAAATGATTTCGAATCATTCAAGTGCAAAGCGTGCGAACTGCAAGGAAATATGGTATAGATACCCATTTTCAAGAAAAAAGGCAAAAGAAATCTAAAAAACATTTCAATGAAATAACTGCTGATCACCGATTTTCAAACCGAGAAGGAATATTCAAAATAGAGACTTACAAAAATGTACTTGATACATTAATAACTCAATTAAATACACGATTTACTGGTATGAGTGCAGTCTGTCAAACATTCGATTTTCTAACACCAACATTTTTATTACATGTTGATGAAGAAACTTTATTACAAAAGTGTGACGAATTCCAAAGAAAATATTCAGATATAATAGGCCCTGACTTTTCACTTCAATTTGTTAATATTTACCACTTACTTATACCTCAATTAACTGAAGCATGGACTGTTCACCAATTATGCAAGGAAATAATGAGTGAATATGGAGTGCTAGAATATTTACATCGATGTTATTATTCTTTACAATTCCTGTCACTTCTGCAGCAGCTGAAAGGTCATTCAGTGAATTAAAAATAATAAAAAATCATTTAAGAAATAGTATGGGCCAAACTCGACTCCGACATTTATGGCTAATAGCAATTGAGAACAAAACCGCATTACGTTAATGAATGAATTGAATCGAGATGTGACCTCTGGGGAACACCAGAGGTTAAAGATCTTTTCTTGATGATGCCAGTTTCTTCTCGACACCTTCCTCGGTATTACATATTTATCGCTCAATATCATTGTTTTTTACCTATTCATTTTGATTTTCAATTTTATTTGTTCTTTCAGAGATTTCAAATCCAATTACACAATGGAAATCCGAACTGATAAAATTCACGTATGAGATATGTTTGTATAAATTATTTAGTGTGTAAGAACACTTATACTTGTTGCTTTTTCTTTGAATCCGTCATTTATTTATATCTTAAACATCTTTATACACCTTTTTGTATAGATAAATACATGCCACATTTTAGTTGCTTCGAATATTATCTGAATGCATTTGTTTTTTTAGTATAGCAGGTAAGTTTGAAAAATAGCTTATATTGCTGAACCTCACCGTTCCATTATTTCATTCCTACATTTATGTAATGATAAAGACGAGCAATTTCCGAAGGTAATTTTACGAAAGGTGCTTCGATAGTGGCATTACAACGTATTCGGAGACTTCCAGTTGCGAACTTAATCGGCGAGTATCTGCAGGATTGATCCGTTATCCGTTCGAAAGCCCTGTTTGTGAATGAAGATGCAAATGAAGAGAATTTGGGCATTATAAGATGCGCGCTGATACGCTGGTATTGATCGAGCGTGGGACGATGGGGCTCACCTCACGGGCGCCGCTGGTCATGAGCGCACCAAACAATTGCTCTCCGAAAAGATTCAGGCGACAAAATTGCATATTATCATCTATAAACCACAAACCAATGTTGAAAATTATGTCCCAGAATTATTCGAATAGTAAACACACTTTCAAGTATTTTGATTGTTATCTTTTCATTGTTTATGGAATAACACATTGGACAGATGGCCTCTCCGAATTTCGCTGGCACTTACACATCCATTGATGCAGCGTTCATTGGGGAATGTTTCTCAATTTGGGTTATTACAGCAAATGCAAGTTCGAACAGAATAAAGTTGAGTTTAATTCATGAGTTTTTCAATTTCACATCGAAAAGTATTCAAATTGATGTTTCAAATGTTGGGTTTTGATTCTCAAAGAGATTTGTTTCTAATTCATATATAGGTAACAGCGCCTATATCAAGTTAAAATAATTTATACATACCTAAATATTCTACTTTAAAAGAGGAAAATGATCTTTATAAATCAACAATTGAAGCAAAATATAAATTATAGTTCAATACCAATGGAAGTGGCAACGCCGCAATGCTGAAAATATTTTAGATCGATAGAACAGATAAGGAAATGTGAGAGGTGAAATTTTCAGAAAAATCATGCTTTGCGTTATCCAGAAACGTCCAACCTACCATCGACCGTGAGTCACGCTGTATTCTGAGCTTTCAATCATTTCAACCTAAGATGGTTTGAAAAGTAATTTCCTGGATAAAATTGTTTTCGACCTGATGAATATCCAGGAGTCTAAATGAATATAAAATTTTAATCGGTGTAATCAGAGTAGTCAGGATCAATTTCTTATGATACAATCTGGAGTGGTTGTTGATTTTCAATTCAAAATCCATATCAATCATAAGACAAAATTCATTTCCAACTGTCAAGAAAATCATTATTGAATAAATCCAGATTTCCTTCACAGAATCTCAACCTCTTTTTCAATAGTTTCTAAAGCTCATCATATATTCTTTCAATATATCATTTTGAACGTTTGAAATATAAAAATTTGCGAAAATTTTAGTAACTTTGTTAAAACTTACGGTTCCCACATCACTGCTGTCACTACATCTTTCAACTCCACCATCATCTTTTCCGTACGATCTGCGGGAAATTGACTGATGTCACTCCCAACAATTTTCCAGGTTTCATTTCGTTCGGTAAAACCTTCCAGAACGTCATGGAGTATATTAAGATCCTGTTCATATATCATTTCAGTCTTGTTTGTAGAATCTGAAAGCAAAAGTCCCTTCAATTATTTTAGTTCTTCACACATTCATCATTATTTCATTCATAAATTTTCTATAGACTGAAGAGTTTCGCTAGTGCCAGTGATGCAGAAATCAGGTCACTGTATGCGACGAACAACTCTTCTGGTAGAAGCTGCAGCCATTATGATGCTGTTGAAGAGCCATGGTCGATGAATGAGTACGTTGATTGCTAATTATTTTTTCATTCATCCACCCAAACATACCACATAGATCTAATTACAAAGATAACTTTATTAATCACAAAAGAATACACATATAAACATAAGCGAGTTGCTAACGTGGTCAACTAATAAATGTGATGCTCTTACAAAGACATAACGAGTTGTACAATGACATTGTTCCTTCGGTTTCTCAGAAAATCATTCCAATCTATCTCAATTATTACATCCAGCAAGTGGGGCACCTACAGAGAACAAATTCTGTATATAAAACATTGTATTCAATCGTGTTCTTCTGAATAAACATTAACTTTCACTAACGATAACGAATGAGGTGAGTCTACTCTTACGAAGCCTATGAAGAAATTATATTGAACGTTTCTTACTGTCTTTTTTTTTGGTTTATAACCTACCACAAGCTGAATCACGAAGTACAGAATATAGATTCCACTCTTTCAAATATGAATTTTTGAAAAAACTGAAAGGAAATCCAACAAAGTGGGGTTTTTTGAGGACAAAACACAAGCACTGCAGAAAAATCCTTTAGGCGCCCTCAAAACGGTACCTGTGTGAAAGAGTAGCGATTCACTTTGGATTTGAATCGCTGGAGATTAAATCCATTTGGAAAAACGTTCTCAGGAAGTGTATTTCACATAAA